ATATATATATATATATATATATATATATATATATATACCTTCCTGGAAGGAAACATCCTTCTAAGTTTTGAGTTCTATTTATATTAATCTTTTTGTCTAGTTGTTATTACACTCAATTCAGTTTGAGGGCAGCAAAAATGGTGACTGTCACTGAAGAGACAACATCCTTCTAAGTTCTATTTACATTAATAATTTTGTCTAATTGTTATTACAAATCAATTCAGTTGCTAGGCAACAAAAATGGTGACTGGCATTGAAGCTGCTGGTGGTGGACAGGGCAATGGGATCGGGAAAAGAAGTTGCTTTTGCAGCAAGGAAGATTTTTTGCCAGAGGAGTCATTCAAGAGCTGGGGAAACTATGTTCATGCACTGGCCAACACAAAAACAAGGCTCACAGACCGTATCCTGGCACGGTCCATGGACCATCAGGAGCTCGAACAAATGCGTGCACGTAGCCACAATCAGATGAAGAAAACCCTCAATTGGTGGGATCTCATTTGGTTCGGCATTGGAGCAGTCATGGGGGCAGGAATTTTCGTGCTAACCGGTCAGGCAGCTAGGAACGATGCTGGCCCTGCAGTAGTAATCTCTTATTTCATATCAGGTGTTTCTGAACTACTATCAGTGCTGTGCTACACTGAGTTCTCAGTGGAACTCCCTGTGGCTGGAGGCTCATTTTCCTATCTTAGAGTAGAACTTGGTGATTTTGTGGCCTATATTGCTGCTGGAAACATCCTTTTTGAGTATGTAGTAGCAGGTGCTAGTGTGGCAAGGTCATGGACCTCATACTTTGCTACATTGTGCAATCACAATCCCAACGATTTTCGAATCAACGTGCCAGCCCTTGCCGACAACTTCAACCATTTAGACCCGATTGCCGTCGTTATCTCCATTTTGGTTTGCATCGGTGCAGCCTTGAGCATGAAGGCCTCGTCTAGATTCAATTCGGTTACAACTATCGTCCATCTGGTGGTTTTGGTTTTCATCTTCATTACCGGCATGACCAAGGCCAACCCTGCTAATTTCACCACAAACTTTTTACCATTTGGCTTCCGCGGTGTCTTGAAAGCTTCAGCGGTTCTCTTCTTTGCTTATATAGGATTTGATGGTGTGGCAACCTTGGGGGAGGAGATTAAAAACCCTGGTAGAGATATCCCGATTGGGCTGATTGGCTCAATGTTGGTTACCATAACAACTTATTGCGTCCTTTCAGCTACGTTGTGCCTGATGCAGCCATACAGCCAAATTGATGCTGATGCCTCATTCACCATGGCCTTTCAAGCTGCAGGTATGAATTGGGCAAAGTACATTGTTGCCTTGGGAGCAATTAAAGGCATGACAACAGTCCTGCTAGCCAACCTCATCGCTCAAGCTCGGTATTTCACTCACATTGGGCGCACCCACATGGCACCACCAATCCTGGCATCCATCCACCCAAAAACTGGCACGCCTGTGAATGCCACGGTTATTATGACTGTTGCAAACTCCCTTGTTGCCCTCTTCACAAGCCTTGATGTCCTGGCAAACCTTCTTTCTATATCAACCCTGTTCATCTTTTCCCTTGTTTCCTTAGCACTGATCGTACGACGATACTACGTTACTGGCGAAACATCAACTTCTGACAGAAACAAACTCATTGGATTCTTGACATTAATTGTAGGATCATCGATTGCTACTGCTGTTTATTGGGTGCTTAGCCAGGGTTGGATTGGCTATGTTGTGACAGGCGTACTTTGGTTTGCTGCCAGTTTAGGCTTGCAATTGACCCTCAAACAAGCAAAGAAACCTAAACTGTGGGGGGTGCCATTGGTTCCTTGGTTGCCATCAGCTAGCATTGCATTCAATGTTTTCATCTTGGGTTCTATTGATGTACCTTCATTCATAAGATTCGCAATTTGGACGTTAGCTTTGCTCGTCTACTATATATTCGTTGCGCTGCATGCTTCATATGATGCAGCAAGGGAGACTGATAGAGTAGAAGCTCAAGCTAGTCAAGCTAGTCAAGCAACCAACATGGAGGCTGGGACTAGCTAAACCACTGGAGTAGGCTGAGAATATGAGAGATGCGAGCAAAGCCATCCTCTTCTTGTATTGTTTCTGTACAGGTCCAGAACTCAATTCACTGTTCTTTTTTCATTCAGGGATATTGTACCCAAAGTTGAACATTGCAAGTCTCCATTGTTCATACCCATACTTGTTTTTTCCAGTTTACGCTCTGAATACGCTCTTTTGGTTCTATTAATGGTTTCAAAGAACATAGGGCAAATGCGTCTGGCAGTAGTTTTGTTGGATGTTTGCGCTAAATTTATATAAACCATTTCAACGTTAAATTTCAAATTTGTTGCAAGTAATATGGTTGTCCTTTTAGTCACCAACCACTTTTTACATCAGCTATCAGACAGCAGCAGGCATTTGCTTATGAGTGAAGTTCACAGTAAAGCTGCCCAGCCTTGACCTATGGGAGAACCAAAATACAAGCGAAACAATTCGGTATTTTATGCAATCAACCTAATAATATTAACCTTCTGAAAAAGGAAAACCAAATAATAATACTATCATTAATTGAATAATGTCGACATTATCATCGATGTTATAATATACAATAATTGTGACACTCGTAATCCCTTGACCACTGCACACCTTTTTTTTCAGACATACACAGACATTGTAATCATGAATTAAGGAAGAAAAAAATGGGGGGAATAGAAAGAGAGATGGGATCACTTGCTCACTCAAAAACACTCAGATTGATATAGACTACCATACTGGTGCAGGTTCACCTTACATATTATGTCTCTATTTTTAGGAGAGTATTGAGGGATGTACTATTGAATCTCTGAGCAAGGCCTCTGATCACAAGCACAATAACATCTCGAAGATGCCTCGACTGCACCATTAAGTCTACCTCATTCTCACTGTCCACTACGATTTTGAGATGATGCTGGTCATTTCGAAACAGCTCCACCTGTACACTCTCCACCTTTCAGTTTCCATTATAAAGGAATACAATGCAAAAAAGCAGGAGGGAAAACGAAAAGGAACCAAAAGAAGTAAAAAAAAAAGAGTGATAGATCGATCCCCCTCCAGAAATCCAGCCATCTAGCCAAATTATAGGTAGGGGAGAAATCTAAGTAGAATGGGACAATTTCTCCCAATACGTCAACTGTATAAGGAATCTGATTAACATGCCTATGTTCTGTAGAACTGAAGGTGAATGGTGAAAACAAGTTCATCCAAAAATACTCTTTTATTGCATTATTATATTCCGACAAAGAAAAAGTAAAACTGTCAAGTGGGGACTTTTGAAATAAGGAAACAACGTAATAAAATTCTAGATCTTTTTTATATTACAGATGTGGTCAACACCAACTGGAGCAGGATGAATCTGTAGATAAAAGATCAGCCCTATCCAAAATATTAAAATTGTCATATGATTATGATATAGAATTTCAACAATGTTATGCTACATTGTTGAAACAACAACGTGTCCTGGGTGGTCAACATTCCAAACATCTAACAATTTGAAAAGCAAACTGGATTAGAAGCATGTATAGAAAGTTAGTAACAAAAACTTACATGAAACGGAGGCGCATAACTTCCACGAATTTCAGTGGTTGGGAAAGAAGTCTTAGAACCAGGCTTTACGACCTTGACTCTTTTTCTATTGACTTCAAGGATTCTTCTCTCGAGACTTCCCACTGCAGGAGCCTGCAATAAGAAAAATAACAAATAGTCAAACAATTAAATTTTTAAGCATTCTAACAGAGGGCAGATTAATTACAGATGTAGAAAGAGAATATTAAATGACAACCTTTTTCGTAGATTGGTCCTTGTCACACAATGTCTGTACCAAATACATTCAGTGTGGTTAGAAATGGTTTTCGCGACAAACAATTCTAAAATACTACATTAAAGACAATGCCAGACCTCAAACTTCACAGATCCAATATCAAGCTTCTGCTTCACTTCTTTAAGAACATCAGGCTCTGCATGACAATCAATGCAAAATTTATAAAGTTAGGTTCTTATAGATTTGAACACAACTTTCTCAGGCTAGAATTGGTAAGAAGATATCAGCCTCCCACATGCAAGAGCAGAAAAGCAGAGCAAGGAAAAATAATATTGGACAACATTAGAGGTAGAAAAAGTTTAAAACACTACTAATGAACTTGTGATGCATAAAAAGGGATAGTGAAATGTCTAAAGTTAGTCAAATTGTCCAAGGGTGTTTTCTAGTTCCCATAGAAGCAATAATTATGATCTAAAGGACTTAATGAGTAGTATGAAAAATATACAAGAGTAATTAAATGTTTCTAGAGACCTAAGAAGTGATAAAAGGAGCAGTTTAGGGGTCATTTATGTCTAGTATTAAGCTAGCAATAATGCTAGAGTCACCAAAGTTGATATGTTGGCCCGAATTTGAAGAAATGAAACACTGGCACATTACTTGGTTAAAAAATTTAGATGATAATTTTGGTGGGTGTAGCAGTAATCATTAATCTGGCCCCTGCTCTACTGTAAGAACAAGATTTTGGAAATAACATAGAAATGATTTCTCTTTTCCTGTGAAAGCTTTATTGCAACAACAATTCAAAGTCTATTTTAATTAAAAGTGATAAGAGATGGGTCCCAAAAAACACAGAGAGAGAGAGAGAGAGAGAGAGAGAGAGAGAGAGAGAGAAAGAGAGAGAGAGAGAGAGATGAGATTCTTAAATTACCAACTGCAATAGGCTCTGTTGATGCAGAAACAGGTTGCCCTTCAACACCATCCTCTCTTACTGGAGTGTAAATGGCAACAAGCCTATACCCTACATCGTCAACATTAGACTCATACATTCTCCCTACCTCCCCTGCAAGTAAAATTTTTCATTTAAGTATTGCACAGTGGAAAAATAAATCATATGATAATGTTATTCAGAAAGTTCCTATAAAGAATTAATATTATTCAGGAAATCAAAATATTAGCTAGCGTATTTACCATCACAAAGAAATGCTGTAAGCTGTAAGACTTGTTGAAAGGAAAAGTGAATCAGGTAACAAATACAGTATTATTATAAGTTTCTAAAGATATATTGTAAGCTACAAAGCCTCCTTGGAACTCTCAGGACAAGATGACACATCTTGTCACCAATGTGTACACCTAAGGTTATAAAAGAGAAACTCAATGACTTAACAATACCTGGTATAGAGATAAGATCAGGACTTCCAACCATTGATCTGAGCCACTGGATTCTACTTTTGCCTTCCTTCCCTCCACTATAATTGCCACGTACAGCATATAAGTTGGTGTGGAAACCCCTCCCTTCAATCTCCAGCTTATCTATTCTAGGGATCCCTACAGATACACAGAAATAAAATATATGGAAGGAATGAGGCTTCATAATACAGGAAATAACAATATTATTACATCCAACCATTCAGAAAGTGAATATGGTCAGAAGCAATAATATGGAGTCCAGGTCAATTTAACAACTTCCAAACGCTTCATATTTCAATTCATGAATAGATTTGCTTAAAAGCCCTTCTTATTAATCTCCAGTTTATATGCTTCAGGAACCCAGGAAAATCATCAAACTGAAGGACTAAACTAATGGATGGAAGAAACATAACTATGTTTAAAACCAAGAGTGTAGTCCTTGAGTTTGGAAAGGAAATACCTGGTAAAATAGGTCCAGTTTCAGCATATACAGGCTCAGTTGACCTTCCAAACACATCAGTCACAATGCATTCACATTTTAGACACCGTCCAACATCTTCTAGTCGCATCTTGTAAGAGCAAGAATGCTGAGCAGGTAATAGCTCAAAGGTTTTTTCATCTCCCACTTTTGAAGAAAAATACCTGCAGCATCCCTTTGTGTCATATAATGAACAAAATGAAATAGTAAGAGCTAATAAACTTGAAATAAGAATTTAAAAAAAAATTCAGTAAATTGGATGCATGTTCAAGTTTAAAAGTTATATGACACTAGAAATCCTGGATGAGAACAGAAAGCTGCACTCCACTTGCAAATCAAAGGATTCAAAACTAGCCGTTTGATTACCAGAACAAAATGTTACCAGATCGTTGTAAAAAGTCGAATTCCCATTTAAGATAAGTCCTTATAAAGCAACAGATTCAGGGATGTCTCTTGAAAAACAAAAAACCAAAAAGGAATCAAATATCCAGCTGAAAGCCAAAAAGTCCAAATGATGCAAATGCAAATGTAATTTGTCATCATGTTTAACTTTTACAGCATGTATTTCTGAATCTTTTTTTGCAACTGAACAGAAATGAAATATTGAGCCCTTAAAAGTGATAGTACTGCAAAGATATTTGAATGCAATCGTGGTGTGGATTACTGAAAATTACACCATACCATTGATATCTGACATCTTTCTTGTACTTGTTCCACACAAGTTGTTGATTCTCACTCTCCGGGATCACTTCAACAACTGTAAGAACATCACCTTCGATTGCCTTTCCAGTGAGAGCAAGCATCTCTAGTCTTGGAAGCTCTGGAGGTTAATGCCATATCCAAATTCAATTTAAAATGGTTTTTTAATCTTTACCATGTGAGACAAATAACAAACCATATCCAGACCATAAATTTTTTCTTCCTTTCCAACACATGTCCAGAGTCCAGAAAACAGACGAAGGAAAAAATGCACGTCAACAAATACATATCGAAGGTCAGAAGCATTCAAAAGGGACTTTCTACCTGGAAGAATAATGTCAGTCGTCTCAGACAACCTCAGTTCTCCAACCACCGAATCTGAACGAACTGGTGTGTATCTATGAGATGCATATGGAAAAGTTTCTTAGGATATATATTTCTACATATTCATCCAAAAAACTCTACATGCATACGTATATATAACTAACAAAAAAGTAACTACTGAATAATAGATTGGACATGCAAGTGTGTAGGAAAGTTTAAAACCCAATGATCAATAATTGAATGTGTTTCCTTCCCAAGGATGTGATAGGTATGGGAATGATTGTAGAAAGCACTATAAAAAGTTATCAAAATCTGTGTTTCTTGCCCCATGTAAAGATTATGTAGGATGAAAAAGCAATGTAGACAAGATTGAGAACGAAGGTCTCCTAAACTTTTAAAAGTTTGAGATCCTTCCTAAACTTGTAAAAGTTTGAGAGTTTTGATGTTAAGAGAATCTTGCTAGTACTCACAATGAGTGATATGCC